ATGGGTCACCCAGGGGGCAAAGGATGGTGAAAAGCCACCTCAGTTCATCCCCAGGTATGGCTAAGATGCTGAGGGTTAAGAAACCCAAAATCAGAACCTCCCAGGTGATCAGCTTCTAAACCATGTTCTGGTCATGCTAGTGCCTCACCACGGGTGCACATGCATGCACACACACACAAACACTCAAACTCAATGCCCTTCTGGGCGCGCCTTTGCCTGCTCTACAGGATGGAATGCACAGCTGCCCTCCAACCACAACCCCAGGTGCAGCCACACGGCAGCTCTCTGAAGCCTTGAGAGCCTTTGCCCGGCTCCTCTCTTCCCCGAATGCCTTTGACTCTCTTCTCACCTGGAAGAATCCTAATCAAAGTTCATGACCCAAGTCAAGTGTCGTTTCTAGTAAACGTTCCCTGGACAGAAAAGTGCTAGAGAGCACTTAGCTCATATGTTCTCGTTAGCATCATGCACGGTAGATTCTTCTCCTTGAAAGCAGATCTGGGTCCTACTCAACCTTTTCTTTCTTTCTTTTTTTCTTTCTTTCTTTCTTTCTTTGGTATTTCTAGTACTACTTGGTACATATTTTTTTAATGGGATGAGCACTGCTAAATGCTACTCGATACTCGATACTTAGCTTTATAGTCCCCACAGTATCATACCAGTAAATGTGTGTTGATGGAATGATTTAGCAAAGGAATGAATGAATGAATTCATTCCTTCATGGATAAATCAATACACTTGGAAACAGAAGGAGAGGTGTGATTAATCCCAGTGCTGGCTTCTTGCCGCCACAGGTCTGAGATGATTAACTGGCTTTCTATGCTCTGCCTCAGTTTCTTCATCTATCAATGGGAGTGCGGAGAATGAAGCCCGAGTGAGTTTCCTTGGCTAAAGGACACACGAGCAGCACAAACAGCTATTCCGGCCCAGTGCTGGTGACAGGGGACAGCCATGGAGTCTCCTCTTCTTTTCCTGCCTCTGTTCCATCGGGATTTGGCCCCTGCTCCCTGAGGGCCCGCCCTGGAGCAGTGCTGGGTTAGGCTCTCAGCCACCTGTCTCATTTAATGCTCACCTCCACTCTATGCCCTGGACACCCCTTTCCTGTGTTCTAATAAGTTCAGTGACAACTCAGGGAGCTTAAGCAACAGACCAGGGGTCAACAACTCCAAACCAGGGCACCCTGCTCCAAAAACTGTGCTTCCAACAGGCCAAGAAAATGAAACCCTCCCCGCCTTCCCCTCTCCCTCCTGCCCCTTCCTTTTCTTCTCCCCTGCCCAGAGACCTCCCTTTTCTCCTGTCTTCATTCTGCTGTCTCCCTCCCCTGCAGACACCTGGAAGGAGAGGAGAGGTAGCCCCTAGCTCTGATGGCAGTGTCTCTGCCTTTCTGGGCTTCGAGGGGACAGGGCTGTGTAGCTTATTCAGCTGAGGACAGTGGAAGCCTTTCTACCCCACCCTTCTCCAGCACCACCACCCTCCATGCACCTACCAAAGACAACAACAAACATCAAGCATTCTTCCCTCCCCTTCCAGGCTGAGAGGATGAAGGATGCTTCTACAGACAGGCTGGTGGTGAGGGTGGGCAGGGTCCTTCCTCTCCCCCATAGGGACTTTGCAGGGCACCCCAGATGGGCGAGGTCCTTGCATGGAGGTCCCCATGCTGCCCTTCCCTTTGTGGCATGTTCCCCCAGATTGCCGAAGGAATGGCGTATATTGAGAAAATGAACTCAATCCACCGTGACCTCAGGGCGGCCAACATCCTGGTGTCTGAGACGTTGGGCTGCAAAATCGGTGACTTTGGCTTGGCCCGGATCATCGACAATGAATACACCGCCCAAGAGGGTGAGCAGAGACTCCCAACCACAGGGAGACCTTGGGACTTAACCTTCCCCAACTCCCAACTCCCCTTGGACTTCTCCTCATCACTACATAGCAGAGCCTTGTTGGAAGAGATCAGAGAGCTGTGGGGTTTCCACAATTCTGGCCTTACCCCCAGGTGGATCAGCTTTTCCCTAACTGTGCTCTGCAGAACACTAGTGCCTTCTGAGGAATGGCTGTGTGAAGTAGGTCTGCAGATACTGCAAAGGCCATCCAGGGCTCCCTTGGTGATTTCCAAGGCACACCAGCATATTAAAGGCACTGAGAAGTCCTGCAGGAAAGCCACTGTGTACATTTGCTTCACTCCTCCAAGCTGACTTGAGCCCAGAATACGTTTCCACTTTATCATCTACTAACCTCCCATAGAACTAGGGTTTCAAAGGACACACTTTAGAAAGCACTGCTCTCAAGTATGAGCAGCAAAACCTTATACCCGAATTAGATTTCCACAGCGCCCTTTAGTATAACTGAAGTAAAACCAGGGGAATCGAAGTGGTCACATACATTTATCAAGCAGGCTGGCCAGCCATATCAGCTGGGCACATTAATCAGTGGGTGCAGGAGACGGATCAGTATGGCTCATCCCCTGAGGGACCTCAGGCTGGCTGGGGAGGCGGAGAACGCTAGGCGAGGTGGGAGCAGGCGGGGTGCTGAGCCATGCCATCCGCTCTGAATGCTGATCAGACGGCAGCCATCCGCAGGGCTTCGTGGGGCAGCGGCATTTGAATCCCCTCCTCACTGTGACTCTCAGAGACACATAAATCATCATTTCCACTGTGCAGGAAAGGATTAACAGGCAGGGACAAGCTAAAGTGACTCGCCCAAGCCCTGAGTCCCTGTTATTCACAAGGCCAGGTCAGGGGGAAA